AATCACTCGGATTCGGACAGACCTAGACTCCGATTGGGCAGGGCCTTTTGAGATGACTGGGGCAGGTCTTAGCTCAGTTTTATGGGATGAATTTGAGTCTGTGACCGCTGAGGATGTTGACAGAGCGGTGGGAGCAATGAGCGCCTCCACTTGTTTATTGGACCCGTGTCCTTCCTGGTTGGTCTCGGCCACCAAGGAGGTGACACGAAGCTGGCTCCAGGTGTTGATCAACGCTTCGTTGAGGGAGGGGTCTTTTCCACAATCCCTGAAGGAGGTGGTTGTGAGGCCCCTGCTCAAGAAGCCTACCCTGGACCCAGCTGATTTAAATAACTTCCGTCCAGTCTCCAATCTCCCCTTTGTGGGGAAGGTTGTAGAGAGAGTGGTGGCGCTCCAGCTCCAATGGTCTCTGGATGAAGCGGATTATCTAGACCCTTTTCAATCTGGCTTCAGCCCGGCTTCAGCACAGAAACCGCTTCGGTCGTGCTGATGGATGATCTCTGGCGGGCCCGAGACAGAGGTTATTCCTCTGTCTTGGTGCTACTTGACCTCTCAGCAGCTTTCGATACCATCGATCATGGTATCCTTTTGCGACGACTCGAAGGGGTGGGAGTGGGAGGCACCATTTTACGGTGGTTCTCCTCCTACCTCTCTGGCCGGTCACAATCGGTATTGGTGGGAGGGCAGAGGTCAATCCCCAAGGCCCCTTGAATGCGGCGTGCCACAGGGGTCGGTCCTCTCTCCCCTCCTATTTAACATTTATATGAAGCCGCTGGGTGAGATCATCAGACAGCACGGGGTGAGGTTTCATCAGTATGCTGATGATACCCAGTTATATATCTCCTCCCCGAGCTCTCTCAGTGAAGCGGCCGATGTGATGGGCCGTTGCCTCGAAGCCGTGAGGGTCTGGATGGGGGTTAACAGACTCAGGCTCAATCCTGACAAGACCGAGTGGCTTTGGATGTTGCCTCCCAAGGATCATGTCGACTGTCCAGTGTTGACTCTTGCGGGGGAAAATATACCCCCTTCGGAGCGGGTTCGCAACTTGGGTGTCCTCCTTGATCCACAGCTGAATTTGGAACATCAATTGACGGCTGTGGCTGGGAGGACCTTTGCACAAGTTCGCCTGTTGCACCAGTTGCGACCCTACCTGGACCGGGAGGCTCTCCTTACAGTCACTCATGCCCTTGTCACCTCACGTTTGGACTACTGCAACGCGCTCTACATGGGGCTACCCTTGAAAAGTATTCGGAGACTACAGTTGGTCCAGAATGCAGCCGCGCGAGTGATAGTGGGTGCTCCTCGATACACCCATGTTACATCTATCCTCTGTGAGCTGCACTGGTTGCCTATTGGTCTCCAGGTCCAATTCAAGGTGTTGGTCATTACCTTTAAAGCCCTATATGGCTCAGGGCCAGGCTATTTGAGAGACCGCTTACTACCTCATAGTTCCCTACGTCCAGTTAGATCCCACAGGCTGGGCCTCCTTCAGGCCCCGTTGGCCAAGCCGTGCCATATGGCAGGGCCGCGGAGGAGGGCCTTCTCTGTGATGGCGCCCACGCTTTGGAATCAGCTCCCCCTGGAGATTAGGACCGCTCCCATCCTGTTGGTCTTCCGTAAGCTACTTAAGACCTGGCTTTTCCGGCAGGCCTGGGATTTATAAAACCTTATCCCTGGATGATTGTTTTTGTATTGTTGTTTTGGTATGTTTTATGTGTTTTTTATTGTTAGCTGCCCAGAGTCTTTCGGGAGTGGGGCAGCTTATAAATTTTATAAATAAATAAATAAATAAATAAATAAATAAATAAATGACTATATGCTTTCCCCTTACATTTGACACATTACAGTTTGCCTATCGGAAGAACCACTCTGTACTGTAGATGATGACTTTTCTGTGTGCTTCATCTTAGTTTGGTGCACCTGGAGGAGAAGCATACTCATGTGCAAATGCTATTTGTTGATTTTAGTTTGGTGTTTAACACAATCATTCCTCAGCATTTGGTGAACAAACTGGGCCTATTACAGTAGGTTTTAATATTCCTTTATGTAAATAAATATTTGATTTCCTTATTGATAGGCCCCAGTTTGTGTGAGTTGGAAGAAAAGTTTCCAACTGCATCTCCTTGAGTACAGGTTCCCCACAGGGCTGCATCTTGAGTCTGTTACTGTTCCTCTTGATGACCCATGACTGCTGTGCCAGATATGCTATGAATCATATTGTGAAGTATACGGAAGACACAGCAGTGGTGGGTCTTATCCGGGACGACAATGAAGATGCTTATAGGGAAGGCTCTAGTGGACTGGTGCAATAAAAGTAACCTGGTTCTAAATGTTAATAAAACAAAGGAGATCATTGCAGATTTTAGAAATAGCCAGCATAGTCATATTCCACTCAGTATCAAGGATACAGATGTAGAAGTGGTCAACAGTATTAAATATCTGGGGGTGCAGATAACTAACAATCTCCATACGTCATCCTTAGTGAAGTGTGCAAACCAGCATCTGCATTTTCTGCGTCGCATGAGGAAAGCACATCTTTCTCCTTCTGCCCTGGCCACATTTTACAGAGGCACAATTGAGAGCATTTTAACAAACTGCATCATTGTTTGTTTGGTGGTAGCAGAGCCTCAGATAGAAGGTCCATACAGAGAGTAGTAAGTAGCTGAGAAGATCATAGGAAACTTGCTTCCCGTTATTCAGGCCACTGCTTATAAGCGCTATGTGCTTAGAGCTCAAAGCATTACTAGATACCCCACACACCCACTTTACAGTATGTTTCTGGGATGAGGTTTCAAAGTATTTCCAGCAGGACTACCAGATTTTGTAACAGCTTTGTTCCCTATGCCATCTGTCTGGAAAACTCGCAAGATTCGTTTTTCTCACCATGTGTATGTATGTATATATATATATATATATATATATATATATATATATATATATATACACATTCGAACTAGATTGTGTTGTTTCTCTGTGTCATAGAATATATGTGGGTATGTGGGTAAATGCAATTATTTTTGTCATATTTATGTAGTGTATGTTGGAGGTGGTGACCGTTTGAGAGCTGTATACAACGAAATTTCATTTTAATATATGCCGATTAGTGTACATTTAAAGTGACAATAAAGTTATTCTACTCTACTCTGCTCTACTCTACTCTACTCTACTCTACTCTACTCTATTCTTGACCCAAATAGCAGTATATCATAACAAAAGTAATTGTGAAGCACCCTAGAAAGATCTCTTTAATAGTCAACCAAATGGCAAATGTGGTTTAATTTATGTAAGCTTTTTTTTAAGCAATCTAAGTTGTAATCAACTAGGAAAAAAAAATTCAGTTTGTAATAGATAGCTCGGTGAAGATGTTGATTCTGTGCAGCAGCTGTGAAAAAGGCAAATTTCCTGCTAGGGCTCATTAGCAAAGGACTGGAAATAAAAATGCCAATAATTTAATACCTTTGTAAAATGTATAATGCACCTGCATATTTCAGATTTGTGAACTGCTTTATACAGTTCAGGTCATCATATTTGAAAAGCTGATCTACTGTAATACTTCTAGGAAAAATGCAGACAATGACAATCAATATGGTCACAGAGCTTGGACACTTTCTGTACAAGAAAAAGTTTTTAAGCTTTTTAGTTTGAGAAAAGCTAAGCATTCCAAGCTTTTTGGCTTGGGGAAAAGTACAGAAAGAAGACATAATTAAAGTGTACAGAAGGGTATTAATAAATTTATTTTGGGCGGGAAGAAATCAAGGGTAAAGTTTAAGATTTTACAAGATGCTCGAGAAAGAGGTGGACTTAAAGCACCAAATTTGAAATTATATTATGATGCGGCCACTTTAACTTTAGTAAGTGACTGGCTCAATTTAACAAATAGAGATATTCTTGTTTTATTATATGGTTGGCATGCATATTTAATTTTTGATAAGAAAGTAGATTTGGTCTTTAAGTCACATATTTTAAGATATGCTTTACTTCAAGTTTGGAAAATATATATATATTTTTTTATTGAAAATTTTATAAACTTTTTACAATAAAATACCCCCCTCCCACCCCATAACCCTCCCCCCTCCTTCCCAGAGCTGAATACAGAGTTAAAGAAACAAAAAAAACATACAAATTAAATGAACATCAATCCACTATACATACATCCAAAAAATTTAAAGTACTTTAACTCCAATACATAGAAACTACAAATCCAACCATACTACTTTAAACTATAAATTATTCAAAAGCTAAATAATACTTTCTAATCCCATATTTATTCTGTACAAAATTTACCCATCTTTTCCACACCGAAATATATCTCTCTTGTGAATGGTCTTTCAGATAAGCCGAAATTTTTGCCATTTCTGATAAATAAGAAACTTTAAGAAACCATTCTTCTATAGTAGGCAAGGAATCCTTCTTCCAATATTTCCCAATCAGCAACCTTGCCGCCGTAATAAAATTTAACATTAAGGTAATCTCTTTACCATCACAATCTACAATAATACCTAGAAAAAATAGTTGTGGTGTAAATTTTATCCTTCTATTAAAAATCTTCTGAATGTTCCACCAAATCTTAATCCAAAAAGCCTTTACATTTCTATATGACCACCAAATATGATAATACGTTGCATCCAGACAACCACATCTCCAACATTTGGGCTGTACATTCAGGTACATACGAGACAACTTTTGTGGATCAAGGTGCCACCTATAAAACATTTTATAAAAATTTTCTCGTAAATTTTGAGCTTGAGTAAATTTAACATTCCTCACCCAAATTATCTCCCATGTATCTAATAAAATCGGCTCTTCAAAATTCTGAGCCCATTTAACCATACAATCTTTAACTAATTCTGTTTCTGAATCCAATTCCACTAAGGCATTATAAACTCTTTTTATATGAGTTTTACTTTGATCTTTAATTTGTTTCATCAAATTCACATCTTCCATAACAAAACCCACTTTTTGATCTATACTCCATCTTTCTAATAATTGCCTATACTGAAACCAAGAATAAATAATATTTTCTTGCATTAATTCCTCCATAGATTTCCATGCTAATCTTCTCTGTATCGTTCCAATTTTAGTATATGTGCTGCCGAAGCAAGCACGAGTTTGGAAAAAATATTATTATAAGTTAAATTATAAAATACCTATTTGGGGGATCCCTGGACAAGCAATCCAGGGGGTTTCCAAGGGAGTGAATTTTGACAACATTTCATATAAAGAGTTACTTACTTGGTCAGGTACTGATTGGCAATTAAAGTCTTCTGATGTGTTAAGGCAAGAAAACATTTTACAATCGTGGTTTCAGTATTTGCAAATTGTGCAGAGATGGACTTTGGATAAGAAAGTGGGAATTACTTTAGTAGATGAAAATTTGGTAATTCAGATTAAGGATCAGAAATGTGCCCATATTAAAAGATTTTATAATGAGTTAATAAAATTGGATTCAGAAACAGAGTTAGTTAAAGATTGTATGATTAAATGGGCCCAGAATATTCAAGAACCGATCTCATTGGACTTATGGGAGGTAATTTGGACTAGAAATGTTAAATTTACGCAGGCCCAGAATCTGAGGGAAAATTTTTATAAAATGTTTTATAGATGGCATCTGGATCCTAAAAAGTTGTCCTGTATGTACCCGAACCTGCAACCTAAATGTTGGAGATGTGGTTGCTTAGATGCAACCTATTTTCATGTTTGGTGGACTTGTAAAGTTATTAAAGCCTTCTGGATTATGATTTGGTGGAACATTCAAAAGGTTTTTAAAAGGAAGATTAAGTTTACTCCCCAACTGTTTCTTTTGGGAATTTTTGTGGACTTTAATGTTAAAGAAACTATTTTAATGTTGAATTTAATAACAGCAGCAAGATTACTGGTGGGTCAATATTGGAAGAAGGATACTCTGCCTTCTTTAGAAGAATGGGTATTTAAGGTTTCTAATTTAGCAGAAATGGCTAAAATTTCTGCTTATTTAAAGGACCACTCACAAGAGAGATATTTTAACGTATGGAGAAGATGGATAGAATATGTTCAGAAGAAATATGGAACTATAAAGTTTCACTTATTCTATGAGTAATGATTTTGTTTATAAACTTATGATGTTAAAGTTTGAAGAGAGTTAAGGGTTTTTATGATTTTGTTCATTGTATAATTAGTAAACTTAAATAGATTATGTTTAATAAGGTGACCAACCGTCCTCCTTTTGGGAGGACAGTCCTCCTTTTTTGAGTTCTGTCCTCCCTCAAAAAGTGTCCTCCTAAATGTCCTCCTTTTCCATATACCGTCCTCCTTTTGGGAGGACAGTCCTCCTTTTGTGAGTTCTGTCCTACCTCGAAAATGTCCTCCTAAATGTCCTCTTTTTCTATATTTGAAGACTTATCTGCAGGGCTTTTTTTTTTTCCTCATAGAATGCCCAGAAGGCATTCCGGGACCTTTTTTTGATGGTTTTTTTCAACTTTTGCCTGAGCTGTGCTACTCCCCCTATTGGCTTTCAAAAGCCAATAGGAATTGCTGCTGAGCGCGCCAAAACACCCAGGTGGCAAACTTTGCACGTGCAAGTTGCAGGAACTTTGCACCCCTCACTGCTACCCAACTACACCATCTCTTACTTAGTTCCACAGATAGCTGGAGGAGACTGGAGCAGTAAGTTTCTCTTGATCTTCCCTGTTTGGTTCTACACGGGGATGCACAAGGTAGGCGGTAGTGCTGGGGGGTGGCTGCAGGGCCAGAGCCAGCGTGGCTGGTGCTTTGTGAACCGCACGGCCTACGGGGATGCACAGGGTGGGCAGTGGTGCTGGGGGGCAGCTGGGGGGACAGCTGCAGGGCCGGAGCCGGAGCAGCTGGTGCTTTGCCTTTGCGAGCCGTGGGGCAGGCTCTAGGGGATGCGCAGGGTGGGCAGTGGTGCTGGGGGGTGGCTCAGGGCCAGAGCTGGCTCGGCTGGTGCTTTGCGACCGCGGGGCCAGCTCTCCACGGCAGGGCAGCGGTGCTGGGAGGGCGGCTGTGGGCGGGGGCACAGTGGGCAGATGACCTTCCATGGGCCATGCCAGCTGGTAGTCTATGCAGTGCTGACCTGCGCTGCCACCACCTCACCCTGTGCATCTACGTGGCCATCCTGGAGCGCCTGGCTCACAACACCTGCCTCCGCCGCCCACCCCCGCGCAGTCCAGCCGTGTAGATTTTTGGACAACTGAGAAATCGAGATTGAATGTTGATACTCTAGCTGCAGCACTTGCCATAAAATTCAATATGAAGGATATTTCTTGTTCAGATATTTCCAATATATTGTTAGAAGATGATACATTGACAAAAAATATTCATTCAATGGAAAAGTACTCATTTAAATAATTAATAGGCATGTAAGCATAATTACAATATAAAATGTTATTGTTACAAATGTTTTTATTATGCATTGATCATATTATAGTGTATTCTGTATTATTGTTGCAATAAATACAATGTTTCTTTTATTTATGATATTTTTTTCTTCAATTTATTCGTGTCCTCCTTTTTGTTGTAAAAAAGTTGGTCACCTTATGTTTAATATGTTTGCATAATCCTGTATTTTGCTCTGGGAAGTCTGGGGGGGATGGGGTGGGGGAGGGGGGTGGGGATGGATGGGTTGAAGTTTAAGTAGTTCAGATAAAGTAGAAATAGTCTTATTGTATATAATATTAATGTTTTAATTTTGAGAGAGGCATTTCCCCTGGACCGCATCAAGAGGGAGGAGAAGAAGGTGAGAAGTAAGTAGGAAAGTGTACAAAACCATCCATGCCATGGAGAGAATGGTCATGTGGAACATTTTCTCCCCATCTCAAAACATTAAAACCAGGGATCACCTGAGAAAACTGATTGAAAGGAGATTTAGAACAGGTTTAAAAAAAGCCCTTCATACAGAACATGGAAACTGTCACTGTGTGTCATGGCCTTTAATTTTGGTTGGCTTTAAAAGGTTATTGGATAAATTCAAGGAGAATAAGTGTATCAGTGGCCATTAGTGTTAAAAAAATAAATGTCACATCTAGTTTTAGGGAAAATATCTCCAAAATCAGATGCAGGGAAACATATACAGGAAAAGTATGTCTTTTCATCTCCTGGTGGTGAGCAATTCAAAAGCATCTAGTCAGCCATTCTGAGGTAGATCTGGCTTCTTACCATTATTATGTTGATGAAGAAAAATTAGGAGACCAAAACACCCTGTAATATATGGTCATCCAGAGATCACCTTATCAAGGCTTCCTTAATTCTGGCAATGCCCTTGACAGGACCTGCCAGACAAACTGGAATTCGGTACCATAGAGCAAAGCTAGAAGCAAAGATGAAAAAGCAAATAGGAACTCAGGAAAACGGTCTGCAGCTCAAATAAAATTCAGCTGCAACAGAGAGATCCAGTGAGGTTCCTTCCCTAAAACATTTTCACCTGCAGTTCAGTAGTGCACATAAACCCCATGAGTTCCAGGAAACAGATATATACATTGATTATGACTTTGATTTGGCCCACCTAAGCACTCTTAAGATTAAGAAATTAAATAGCTGAGTAAATAGTACATAGGGACTCTAAGGTTCATGACCTTAAATAAAAGGTACAAGAAGATATACACTGCCAGTGTTCTGATTCCTTTCAATCTTATTTCATACTTTTCATTCATCACTGTTGGCATAGATAGTGATTGCTGTTCAACCCATCTTGATTAATTGTATAATTAGATCACTGCTAATTTAAACATTCTGTCAAATTTTATTCAGAAACTATTATAGTAATATGATAGATACATTAAATACAGATGCTAAAGTCATTTTGATCATTGTAAAATAGGTTAATGTGGCTGATAGCAAGCAGAGAAGAAATTAAAGAATATTTAAAGTTTAATGATGGGAAGTTTTGATAATGTTCAATATGAAAATTAATCATTTTTTTCTACACAATGTTTTCATCTGATAAATAAAAATGTGTTTGCATATATTGTTTGTTCTAGCTGACAAATTGGAAAATTGTAAACTCCTAAACTTATTGCATTTTGTATTAACGCTGGAAATACTGTTGTGGGTGGTTCACTTCAAAAAAGGAAGCAACAACTTCTCCCATCCCTGTGTTTGTGTATCAGAATCAGTCTCCAAAATCCACATTTTCTAATCAGTTGTTGATTTTCCAAATTTTTAATATGTTTCAAATTAATACATGTCTCCACACACATCCCTATTGCTACTTTTTAAAAAAAAACTCTAACAGCTGGAAAATAATGCAACAACATAAGTCTTTTTTTGAAAAGGAATGAAATGTCCTTCACACAAATTAATGTGTCGTACTATTTTATCCCACCAGGGAATAATAATTCACGCTTTGGAGCACATGGATCTAGACATGCCTCATTGACATCCTCCATTTCTCTAAAATACACAAGACTTTCATATCCATTTGCAGAATAACAGTAACAAAAAAAAGGTGCTGTTGTTTTAAATGACATGTAGAAGCAAAAGAAGAAACTTTGTCTTGATTTACCTAGTCTTCCATTAAGTAAGTCACTGATACCATTCAATTGTCCATGACAAGGTTTTTAGAAGCACCCACTTTTTTCTTTTTTTTTCTTTTCCTTTATTTTATTTTTATTTTATTATTTTATTTGTGTATAAGACAGTGCTGTTTATTAATTACAGCATTATCCCTCATTTGTGATAAGGCAGTTTATTGTGTACAGTTGAGTACAGGACAATCCTGACCTTGTTCTTTAAATATTTTCTGAATCAATTTAATTGTAACAGTCCCACTCCCAATATCCATAATTCTTTATCATTATATGTCAGTAGGGTTACATGTCTTGATAGTAATTATCCAAGCAGATGCCTTTGAAATGAGGTAGCAAATTATAATTATATTTTAACTGATAGCAGATAATTATGTATTTATTTGTTTGTGTACAAGTTAGGCTACAGCTAGTTCTTTATTTCAATATAGAGCTGATGCCAATTCTGTCTTTTATATTTGTATAGGAATAAAATTGAAAATCAGTTGATTTTTGCATGTATTCTTCCAGTTTTGGGAAATTGGGAGCATAAGTAAAAATGCAAATGTATAATAAGTAAGGGTATTTCTTAAAATCTGCACAAAGGGTGTTTTGTTTGTCACTGTTTGTATTTCAAAACTAGGAAGACTGGAATGGAAGGAACAAAAAGAGAATGTGTGCAAATTCAGTGATTTAAATAACTATAACTTAGGAGCACATTCCAAGGGATTTGTGGCATATCAGATTTTTTGTGTGCGTCGCCACTGTGGGAACTTTCCACTCAAGATGAATCTTGTATGTCTTGCTACCCTGTTATGTAACATCATGGTTTGTGATTGGAAATTTCACGGAGCTGTAGTGTTTATTTCTTATCCTAATGGTATGCTTAATGCCAGTAGATAAGCTGCCTGTGCCAGAAAAATCAGACAATAATAATAGCTATAAATCAAACAGAATAACCTCATGTGTTTAACCATGATTTTCCAATGATGTGAAACAGCACAATGGTAATAGGGGCAGTTCAATGTGCTATCACTACCAAAACAGACTAATATAAGACATAGCATATAAGCACTGCTTGAGTAGGGACTGCAATGTCATCAGGGACACTACACAGCCTCTCTGTGACTAGTTTTCCTTGTTACCTTCTAGGGAGGAGGCTTCTTGTTATCCGAAGCAGAACATCCAGATTCAGTCACAGCTTTGTTCCATATAATAACAATCTTGTGAACTCTCAAATTTCCTCTTTCTGCTATGTATTCGAAATGGACAGTGATTAATAGATATATAGATATAGACATAGACATAGATATAGATATAGATATATTAATCACCGTCCATTTCAAATATATACATGTATGTATGTATATAGAACAGAGCTCCGCAACCTTTCTGGGTTGGCGGCCCAGAGGGAAAAGGAAGAGCAGGGAAATGTATGCAAGTGTGTGCACGTACACACAGCACACACATGCGCAAAATGGGTGAGTGCATTGCAGCAGCGCTAGTGCCCACATGCATGAACAAGTGGGGCACACACACCCATGGAGGCACTGGTCGCAGCACTAGCACCCATATGCATGCACAAATGGGCCGCTAGTGCTCACAAGCATGTGTAAACCAGCTGCTAGCGCCCACTTGCATATGCAGATGGGCCACTAGCACCCTCATGCATTGCAAATGGGCCGCTAGTGCCCGTATGATATGGTGGCGATGCTAGCGCCCCGCACATGCACAAACGGGGCCACTAGCACACATGGATGCACTTGCCAGCCATTCCTATGGCACAGTGACCAACAGGTCAGTTGGGGACCCCTGATATAGAATATGTATACATATGTTATGTGTGTGTGTGTGTGTGTGTGTGTGTGTGTGTGTGTGTGTGTATGGTGAGAATAAAATATGATCACCAGGAAAAGTTAAAACATTAAAAGTTTTAATATAAAACAGAAGTTTTAAATAAAAACATTAAAAGTTTTAAAAGATTAGCAACCTAGCTTTCGTTGGCTCCTGCCAACTTCATCAGGGCGTACACAAATCAATGGGAGTGAACATTTATATGTAAGTTAACGCCTGCGCTCGACTCCTGGACCATGTAATAGGTCCAGGTCGGCCAATCATAGCATTCCCTGTAATTGCTGCATGATTGAGTGACTCATCTACTTGTATCACGCGTCCCTCATCAGAGTTTAAACAAGCCTCTGACTCTCCACTCATCCGTATCCGTGGTCTAGGAGGATCCTCGATCTTATTCCAACTCGAGATGTCATCCCCACCACTAAGTCGTCTCCCCCTTCTCTCTTCCTTTGAACTCTCCGTGAGTTTATGGCCCTCCCCTTTTCCACCATTCTGACATCTACCCTTAACATCATGATGTTTTTTACAACGAAGCCTCAATCTGGGTAATGTACTTATGCTTTCACTGCATGGTTCTCCCCCATACACCATTTTCCCAGCTTTCCCAGCCTCGCTAAGTTCCGTAACAGTTGTTCTCCCCTTTTTTTGAACAGCTGCCAACACATTGTTGGGGTTGGACTATAAATTATGTTGGCCAGTCATCGAGGCCGTCAAGATCCCCAAAGGTGGTTGCTTGCAAACTCCAGTGGGTCAGCTCTCCTCGCTTCTCCCCTGGAAGGGGTGTGATGTAAAACGCGATGCGGATCCTGGTGAAATACACACGCTACCATTCACCCCGGCTAGTAATGCTGCCTTCCGAGATCGCCTGATTATTCCTTCAGCAGGGGGTTTACAGTAGCCCTCTCCTCGTGTGTCTGTAGGGGGTGTGGTCAAACTGTCAATCCGAGCTCTCGTTATACTCCACGGTATATGAGGGACGCGTGATACAAGTAGATGAGTCACTCAATCATGCAGCAATTACAGGGAATGCTATGATTGGCTGACCTGGACCTATTACATGGTCCAGGAGTCGAGTGCAGGCGTTAATTTACATATAAATGTTCACTCCCATTGATTTGTGTACGCCCTGATGAAGTTGGCAGGAGCCAACAAAAGCTAGGTTGCTAATCTTTTAAAACTTTTAATGTTTTTATTTAAAACTTCTGTTTTATATTAAAACTTTTAATGTTTTAACTTTTCCTGGTGATCATATTTTATTCTCACCATGTATACACCCAGAATCATGCTTCTATTTTTAATATCCTTTTTAATATACATATATATCTATATCTATATTTATTTGTTTGGTTTTAAAATTTATATATATATCCTTAATGGTTGTGTGTGTGTGTATGTATGTATATATATATATATATATATATATATATATATATATATATATATATATATATATAGAGAGAGAGAGAGAGAGAGAGAGAGAGAGAGAGAACTAGTCGAACACCAGGATAAATATAAAAACAACTATTGAATAAACTAACAACTGCTTAATAAACTTAGCTTTCGTCGGCTAACTGCCAACGTCGTCAGACTGGAATGCCGGAAGTTCGAAAGCCTGCTTATAAGACCAGCTGTTTTTGCGCTCTGCTCATAGAGCATGTTACCGGTCTACCTGCCCCAGTTGATCGTATTGCTTCTAATTGTCTCGCATCCGTCTGTGTATTTGTAGAGTGGGCAGCAGAATTTCATTTTTAATGTGTGCCAGTGTGCTCACAATAAAAAATGACAATAAAGGTTATCTTGTCTATCTTAGTATGACATTGCACTCTGGAACATGGGTGAAAATGCCTAATTCCCACCACAATCAATGTAACCATTTGAGACAGAATAAAACTTTGCCCTTCTACAAGATTTTCTGCAGATCTGAGAAGACTCAACTTCTAGGACAGTCTCTCCAACTGGATAATTCCAAAGTATATTCTTGAGTATTATAAAATCGCAGTCCCATTTTACCTAGAGAAAAGCAACTTGGGGAAAAAGCTACTACAGAATAAATCTAGAAGCAAAACTACCCAAAAGGAGCTGAGGCATGTGTACCATTAGACAGCTCTAAACCTTGAAAATACATTAAGAACAAATGTCTTGGCCTCTAGTGGAGCAGTGAGACAGATAATCTAGAACAATATTCTTTAAGAATTCAGTCAGGATTCTGAGATTTATTGTTAAACACAATTGAAAAGTTCCAGTTTGTAAAAGTCTGGAAGATAGGCAGATACTGTATATTCCGCTTTGAGACGCAATTACAATGCTTTAATTCATTCATTGCTTTTATATCTGACTTTTTCTTTGAAAGCATAAGGCAGATTCTTGACTTTTATCACTTAACAACAACTCTGTGAGGTGGACTGGGCTCAGAATACCCCATCTAAATTATACATTGAGTGGTAGTGCAATGAAACATGAATTTGGGCCCATCACTTTCATCATTAAATTTTGTTGGCTTTTTTTTTAAATCCCATTCTCAAAAAAGAGGCAAAGCTAAATTCTGTGGAGTGTTGATTTATTAGATCTTAATGAATATAAAATGGCAGCAACTAGGTTTTCATTTCTGAAATAAATTGTTAAAGGATCTTAGTAAAGTACTGTAGGGCGAGAATGTGGTACACATACTATAGCACTTAGTATTCTTGGACTGGATAGACCTTTGGTTAAATTCAAAGGAAGTTTACCTAATTTGTATTATTATTTTAGGATCTATTATTCTTTCCCCAAAACTAAGAAACTGAATGAAGAGAACATACCAAGCAAAGTCTCCAGACTCAAATATTGAAATTTGTTTTAATAAAAACAGTTCTGAAGAGCTACTTTAAAGAACAGGTTGTTGAAAACTATAGGCGATCATTTCTTCAGATGGGTGCCGGTCTTCGTGATTCAAGTTGACACGGGCTGATGTTTACGTGCAGACATTACTGAAGACCAAAGCAGTAGGTCAACACCTTGGCCAGCAACAAGGAAGTGATCTCATATAACTTGTCAACATTGTGGAATTCTCTGATAGGCTGCCCAGACTTTCAACAACAAAGTCACATTTGGCTAGACTAAAGCAATTAAGTAGCAAATGGTTACAGTTTTGTTCCAGCAAGAAGTTCATGAACTATTTTACAAGGAATATCATTTAATTTGACTAATGTGCAATTTGTGTCTCATTAAAGGCTAGAACTCTTTTTTAAAAAATGCCACATGCATTTGATCCTACCATAACAAAAAATGAGACTGTTAAATCATTCATTTTAAAAATAAAAATTCATCTTCTTTTAGGACCTAGTTCAAAAAGGTGTCACTGGATCATTGAAAATGCATAAACCCTTTCAGGAGTCCTTCCTTTTTTTAGGATATCTTTGTGTCAGTTTGTAATCCAAATAAACATTGAAGCAGGACCATAAAATAAATCGCATTAATATAATCAAAATCAGCACAGTCATCAAAAGGCCTGATTCCATATTGAAGCTAGAATGAAGAAGCCACTGGAGTTGGGAATGGATGATATACTGTACTTTTTTTTTAACACTATCACTATTTCTGATGATCTAATTATATAATGTTGCCCCACTTGGTGATGTATGACAAATGGAGCTGTTCCTATAAGGTTCCATTCCAAGTGATCTCACTAGCATGTGAGAGAAGAGTGCAGCTGACAGATTTGGAACATGTAACACACTATTTAATCAAGGGGCCCCATGCACTATTCATACAGAATTAAGAACTCTTATATTGACAATAACAGTATTGTCAGAAAATCTTTGGAAGGGGAAAAATGGGGGGGGCTCCATAAACACTCACTCGCTCTCTCTCTGAAGTTGGAAATTTTTTTTTCCAGTTCTTTTTTCTTCCAGTGCTGATGTAATCTCCAAACATCTCCAACAGCAGCTGCTTAGCGAAACCAGGCACTTTCTCCCTCTTCCTTTTCAAAAGCGCATGCGGCACTTTCCAGCCCCTCCAGACAATCAGAGCCTTTCTTTAGCCAATTAGCTATGAGTCCCACACACACACACACACACACACACACTGTCCAGTGGACTCATAAGAATGGTCTTTGCAGGAAACAACACTGGAAGGCTCGCTTTTTTCCCTCTTTCCTAGACAAATTGAAAAGGGAAGGAGGGAGGGAGAAGAAAGGGAAAGAAAATCAGAACACAGATACTTCCCAAAATGCATTGGTCAACAATTAGCACGCTGCCCTATGCAAGAACACACACAGACGCACAAACACAGACGCCCAGACATACATACACTCATGTCAACATAAAATCTTAGAAAGAAAATTGTTCACTTCCTCTTGAGGAGAAAATCTTTTGGGGACATTAAGTGAAAGCATGTCTGAGGGAAAAGATTTGTGTTAAGTGTTTAAAAAAAATACATTCTTAAAAGAGGATTGATTTTGCCCATTTTTGATTGGCATAAACACTGCTACAAACCTGCATAAATTTTAAAGGGAATGTATAGACAACTAAACGTATTATTTGGAGGTAAACAAAATATTGAGGCAAAGTCAGATTAGAATAGTACAAATATGTTACAGAGATAGATGTCACAGCTATTTCACCAATTCTGGGGAGGGGAGGTATTTTTTTTGTTGCGCAATATTTAATTTAATTTAATTTGCATAATTTTAATTTCATGTTAACCACCCAGAATTGTTCTAGCGAGTGGGAGACTGACTATACAAATAAGTATCATCAGTGCTTTTTTTTTCTATATAAAAAAAAAGTGCCAGAACTCACACATGTCATACAACCCACCTTGCCTACCCTACAAGGTTCCATCCAAAAAAGGTGCCGGAACTCCGTTCTGGGTGTTCTATGAGAAAAAAAAAGCCCTGAGTATCATCATTATATGATTTACGGTGATACCTCTACCTCCCAATGCTTGTTGTCCTTGAACTGTAGGAATAAACGTTTACGTACATACTATGTTAACACACTCACTTCCGAGTTTGGCAGTGAATTGAATCACAGCACAAATAGTCACAGTGTGACATCAAGCAATGCCATGTGTGTCAGGGAATGGCAGGACTACCAAGAAAGAGCTGACAGACTTCAGTGTAGAACTAAAACTGATGGTTGGAGTATTTCTCCCCAAAACAAACTGTTACTTCAGCAAACACTCTGCAAAGAGTTAAGGCCATGGGATGCTGGTAGCGCTGGTGTTCCTGCGACTTCATTCTCTGCAGGACACAGGCAATGGCTCTTTTTGAAACATTCCTTGTAAGCTAAGAGTTAAGAGAAGTTGTGAGAAGTTAGTCTCAGAGTCAGAGATAGGAGGGCGATGACCTCAAACCAAGGCAGAGCAGAGTGAATCTGAGCTTCTAAGTCAGAAGGTAGGACTACATCCTAGCAAATTAGGTCAAGTTAGACTAAATGTCTATTTCATCAATGCAGACAACAGCTAGAGGGAGAAGCTTTGTGGCCAAGATTTTCCAAATCCAAAAAGAGATAAGGAAATTGTCACCTGCATGATTATTTCATTAAGACTTGAACAGTGTTTCTGGGGATGCAGGAAGTTGTAATCACTATGAACATTTGAGAAACCTGCATAAAAATGGCTGAAATAAATAAAACCTATCTATGGATGCCTGGAGTTTAAGCTCATTTTTCTACAATTAAAAATTAAATGATATTACACAAAAAGCCAACCAATCCAAGAAAATATTTTATGGAAGGCCATCATTTTATTGTGGCTGATCTAGTCCTAGTCATACTACACACACATACACACACACACACACACACATAATAAATAGTCACACCCTCCTGATACCACCAGAGAAATACCTGTATAGATGATCCAGAGAAAAACACAATAGTTACCTCATTGTTATTACCTTGCGCCATGGTGGCAGAGTGGTTAGAATGCAGCACTGCAAGCTAACTCACTGCTCTCTCCAGAAGTTCGATCCTGACCGGCTCAAGGTTGACTCAGCCTTCCATCCTTCCAAGGTCAGTAAAATGAGGAGCCAGATTGTTGGGGTCAATATGCTGACTCTGTAAAAAAAATGCTTAGAGAGGGCTGTAAAACGGTATATAAGTCTAAGTGCTATTGCTATTGCTATCGAATGTGTTAATTGTATATAATTGGATGTCCTAACCCAGGACAAGAAACATTCCCAGACACAATTAACACATTCAAAGGTAACTATCGTGTTTTCCTCTGGATCGGCTATACAGGTATTTCTTTTGTGGTATCAGGAGTGTGTGTGCGCGCAGATGTGCATACACATACACCTGTATGTACATTACAAATAGAACCATATATACACTTTATTTACAGTCATCTCATTTATCCAAGGGATGAGATATTCCTGAATCTGTTTTCTTTGCTTTTAAAGAGAGGAGTGCCGACTTCAGTAACCCTTTGTAATCTTTCCACAACGTATCATAGTTTCAGGTACTGCCAAAGCAGTTCTCTTGTAGAATTCTGTCACTAAGAAGCTAACAACATTCTGTATCTCTGCCAGTTATATTCAAATTATAAATCTGTTGCTCTTTTCATGCCTAGGAACAATATGCCTTCTCAATTTTCAAGAAGATGAATCACTCAGACCTCAAACTCTGAGCAACTAACACATTGTACCATTCCTAGATTTCTATATAGTACTAATACTGCAAACGATTAAGCTTCTTTATTTTTTTTATCATCTTTAACATGCCGTGTTGTTTTTCCACATTTCTCACATGCTAACTATATAGTGTTTTATCATTGTAGAATGAGAATTTTAGCTCCATTTTTAATTTAAGCAGTATGTTAACTGAGATATGTCCATTGTGACACGGGCAGCAGCTCCATCTTTAATTATAGATTCTTTTCATTATAGATTCTCTGCTTTTTTTTTTTGTTAGATTTCTATCCTGCCATTTTCCCCAGATAAAAGTGGCACGACTAACACTCCAAGTGAATTAGTTACCCAGCAAGTTTCAATGATGCAAGTATGATTGAGATGAACCTGGGTTTCTTTGGTCTAAGTTCAATTATTTAATCACATTGTTAATCTCTCTTAGATTTTAAAAAACTGCAATGACATATTTGGTAATCTTCAATTTGTTAAAGAAAAAAAGTGGAAGGAGAAAAGTACTGCCAGTTTGTTTGGTATCATCTGCAAAATCTCTCATTCTATAAATCATGGTACACTATACAAGAAAAGCAATGTATACTGTTCCTATATTAGTATGACTACATTACATGTAAACGATTAGTCATAATCTACTACTCTTACTCACTATGCATAAAACATTTCTACCTTTTTCAATATGTATACATAAAGTCTAGTAAACAGTAAAGTATATAAATTTTTTTAATTTTTTTTTTAATTTAAAATTTATAAACCGCCCCACTCCCGCAGGACTCTAGGCGGCTAACAATAAAAACACCATAAAACATGACAAAACAAACAGTACAATAACAGTCATCCAGGGGTCAGATTTTATAAACCCCAGGCCTGCCGGAAAAGCCAGGTCTTAAGCAGCTTACGGAAAACCAACAGGGTGGTAATCTCCGGGGGGAGCTGGTTCCAAGACGTGGGCGCCATCACAGAGAAAGCCCTCCTCTGCGGCCCTGCCAAATGGCACTGCTTGGCCGACGGGACCTGAAGGAGGCCCAGCCTGTGGGATCTAACCGGACGAAGGGAACTATGAGATAGTAGGCGGTCTCGCAAATAGCCTGGCCCTGAGCCATATATATAAATTTTTCTAAATTTATTAGAAATATATAATAAATATTAAAGTAAAGAAAATATATTTGCAGAAAAATATTGAAATAATAAGAAAACTGGACATTTAACTTACATTATGGGTCACATATTCAGGGAAAGTGAAAAGAGAGCAGCAGAGAGCAAGGACGTTTCTTCGCTCTAATATAGGAGCTAAAGTTTTATTAGATCTTTAAAGACTAGGTGGCTAATATTTATCCTTTAGCATGGTCATTTATCAGGATAGAAAGGTAAAGGCATTTCATTTCAGAATATTTACATAAGGTCCCACAATTCCCCGCACAATCAAGTGAAAACAAGATATTCTTTTAAATGTCTTCTTGTAAAAGCCAAATTAAGAATTTTTATCTGCAAAGAACAAAATGTGAAATGTTGATAAAGTCAACAATTGTTTTAAGAATTGGTGATTATACATCTAAGTTCTTTCAATGTTACATTGAGCTGGAAGGGCACAGAACACATGCTGGTTATTTAGTGTGCAACGAATAACTTACAAAGTTACAAATGTAGAAAAGGAAGACCTTATCAAGTGTTGACAAAAATGAAAAGAAAGACTATCAACGTTGTTTTTCCAAACCAAGAAAAAAATTTTTAAGGCATTTTACTTTTTATCCAATTCTATATTGCATCATATGATACTACCAGGAATGAACAACACTTTGTTATGATAGCAACAAAGCCTATGACAAATAACTGACTGAACTTTGGCAAGGATGCAGCATAAGGCATGATCAGTTGCATGAGGAACACAGAACTGTGGTGAAAGTTCTCACTGGTCTTGTTCACTAGACAACTCTTAGTGTGATGTTATGTGGGAATGACCTTGGGAGACAGAAGGGAGAGCCATAGACTGGACAATTAGTGTGTAAAAAATATCTCAGCTTGCAGGAGATGTGGAAAATGTTTCAGTAGAGACCCTCTCTAGTGTTCCAAAGAATAAATAGAGAGGATAAATACTGTCACTCTTGCAAGATGAATTGATATTGTATTCGAATTGTTATTATATTAACAACTGTTAATGTAACTTTACAATGAAGTTTGAGCTAGTATCAATGGTTATGCTTCTTGTCTGGACTACCTCACAGAACTAACATTTAGCTGGGTCAAGAGAATGGTAAGTGTATTATACAAGCAAATAAACCAGGAAATCAGAAAAAAATTAACTCTGTCCAAAACAGTCCAAGGATTATTTGGAAGTAAACTAATTCCACCACATAGAAAAAGCAATGGGTGAGGTTTAATAAACTTGCACAATTCATCTACTGTTGAGGAACTCTGATTATAATCCATAATCGGTTACAGATTATTGCTTCTTTTTCTTTTAGTCTGTGGACATTGCTGGCCCCCAGATAATTGTGTTCTCTCAACCTCTGTTGCAGCATCTGGAATGACCTCAAAACTAGCCTCTCTCTCTCTCTCTCTCTCTCTTTCACTGGGATATTGATGACCATGGACTGCTGACTATGGGAATAAATGTTTAACCTGGAAAGGGAGGAAGTAGTTGATTCAGTCAACCATGTTGTGTGAATATAGCCAGTATGTCTGGAATTAAAACTCCCAGAACGAAGAGGTCACAAGAGGTTAAAGATGTAAGAAAACTAAGGTATAGGCATTAGCAGAAGAAAAATCTCAAGGTAGCATTGTTTGCTTGAAAGAAAGGGAAGACCAAAGATAAAAAGAAGGGCCAAAACAAAAGGAAGTTTCTAAAATAATTCATAATTATTTCAAGGACACTCTATATACTATTCTTTCCCAAGATTTTTTCAGTCATGATTTATATTTTATTGCCACTAAAATTGCACTTAAAAGATCTATTTGAACTTACTAATCTTTATCCATCTTTCAAATCCTTCAAAATGGACCACCAAATGCTAATACAACAGCCTGGTATTTTATAAGAATGATTTAAAAGCAAATGTTAATCCTAGCAGGCTTCAGTAGGACTAAGTTAGGTTTATTTCTGCATATATAAATGTGGGACATAAGTTTCATAAAACTAAAATGTAGCTTTTACTAAGAAGTTTTCAACAGAAAAACCTCAGCAACTGTTTATATTATCAGAGATTCTTTGACCCTTAGATCAAGGAGGCAAATGGGAAATGCTTCCAATGCTAAGGAAACACATTGGCACACAGCTGTAAATGACAGGGAAATGTATAATAGAAACAAGGAAGAGTTGGGTTATTTTATATATTTTTCAAAAATTCAATTAATTATATTATTTCAGATAGATGTAGGAATCATTTGTTAATTAATCATACTTGAGGTTCAAAAGATACAGGTTAAGATATGTTAATGCCTCTTCATGATTTTCTGTTCATTAAATTCAGTATGGATTTGATACTACATTATGTAATGTGTTCTATTTAAAATAATATTAATGAAGCTAAAGTGTAATAAAATAATAATAGTGGTTGGTCGCACAGTCAGCCAAATGTTAGAGTGAATTTTATTCACCTATCAAGTTCTTCCCAAGGAACTGGAATAGGCAGATGTTATTTGGCAGTATTAAAGGTATCATCACAGAATATAAGCTGTTCCAAATAAATTTATTTATTGAAAACTTTTATATATCCGCCCATCTTATAACAATCAAAAGTATATGGCTAAGTTAGATTCACAGTCTAAAATTGATAGAAATTTAACCATTCATGTCCTAACCAAGGACCTTAGAGTTATTAAGGTAGCACCTAAGAACATAGGCAATTCCAAGCCAGGCAGGGTTTTTTGTTTTTGGGTAAAATTAAGATGTTCAGGTCTAGTAAATTCCATATTTCCAGATATCAAGGAAATCCTTTAGGTATTGCTCCTAGGGATTCAAACATGATTGCTTTGACAATGAATTTCTTTTTCAACTTCAATCTACAAGCCCCAGTATTTTGTAATTGTTTTCCAATTCTTTTTCCTCAATCCTAGCATCACCTTGTATAACAACATCAATGAATCAGACTTCCTCCCCCCCCCCAATAACTTATATCAGGCATGTTATGAACATGAAGTATATGTGCAGATCCAAGTTGTGGATCTTTTTCAATTGACAGATGGAAATTTTGTCAGTGTGCAGATTTTCTAAGTGCCATTCAAGATTTTTTAATATGGCATCCAGTGTGCCAATAATAACTGGGATCACCACAGCCAGTTTATACCATAATCTTTCAGTTTTGATTTTTAATCCTTGATACTTGTTGATCTTCTCCAATTCTTTGTCTTCTATTCTACTGTCACCTGGGATTCCCACATCAATTATCCACACTTTCTTCTTTTCGACCACTGGTATATTTGGTATTTTGTATGCTAGGGCTTTATCAATTTGTATTTGGAGTCCCACAATATTTTAACTTGTTCATTTTCAATTACATTTTCATTTTTTTGACTTGCTCATTTTCAACTACTTGTTCCTACCAATTTTTCATTATTGGTACATGATAATTTTACAGGTATTCCAGTGAATCATTTAAGTGTCTATGTGATATAGTCATTGATGATCACTTTGTATGATATTCTTGCATGAGCTATGTATATAATCTACCATTCTTTTGCTTCTGTGCACAATCTGCTATTTGAATCATTTGATGATGTTTCAGTTCTGGCCTTGATTGTGTTAGTTCAAATAAATTGCTCTTGAGCAGCCAAAATCAAGCCTTCAGTTTATTCTTTTAATCTTACATTTGTAAGCCTTTGCTTTTTTATTTATATCCATGTTGAATTGTTGGAAGTAAAGTCTTCATCCTGGTTCATCCAAGCTGGGAATAAATAAGCAACATGGTGACTGTTTTGGGAAGATGGTTACAGTTTATTGAAGAGGCAGAAAGATGGTTCTTGCAGGCTAGACCAAGGAAAAGGGCCTGAGCACATGGGCAATAGGTTTTTATACCCTCTCTAGCCTTTTGTTTGGAAGTTTCCTGTTCCTGTGGCATGAACTTTGAACTAAGTCTGAGTGTTTTTCTAGGCCTTGGTATCTGTGGTTTAATCCTATTATCATATCCTGCTTCCCTGGTGATGGGGCTAATGACTCCTAGAGTTTGGGTGGGGTATGCAGATTTTAGGTCTTTGTCTTCTTGAGTTTTCTGGCTCCAACTTTCTGATGGTTTTACATTTGCATTTATATAGGGCTGGCCTCTGCTGGAGACAGAGAGAGTTGGGGGCAGGGTTGGTTTCTGCTTTTAAAAATCCTTTTGAGGAAAAATATATTTTTCTGCCCTTTTAATATTTCCTTCTCTGGGGCTAACTTCCCTCATCCACTTTCCTCATAGTTGTAGAAATCAGCTATGCAGTGCTTTTCCTTGCCAGCATTCTCTTCATCAGATATTTGAGCCAAAAGCCATGCAATTCATAATTTACAGGATGTGTCCACTTTTTAATTATTTTCACTTGATTTCTAACCATTACTGCTTTTATTGTTAGTTCTTCCATTTGCTGGTCTCCATTATGAGATGGAAAATAATACAGATAAGGTTGTCACTGTCAAGCAATAAGAAACCCCATCTCTTGATTTGGGATGAAACAGTATGTCTGAATGATTTTTCTTTTTGAAAACAGTCATGTAGATGGCTTTTAATTATATAACACTTTACAGGCAAAAGCAACTTTCTGATTGTAGATTATTAAGGTATTTTATCATCTAAAAGCAATACTTTTGATTTGTGGTTCCCTAAATGAGCCTAGTCCATACTCGCTGTTTTTATGATGACCGTCAGAC